GGCCTAGGCTGTCCCTCATCTCTTCAGCTCAAGGCTAGCGCTCTACCACTTGAGCCACAGCACTGCTTCCGGCTTTTTTCTTTTTGCTTATGTGGTGCTGAGGAATCAAACCCAAGGGCCTCATGCATGCAAGGCAAGCGCTCTACCACTGAGCCACCTTCCCAGCCCTTCACTTGTTATTTTTGAGATAAGCTCTTGCTTCCTGTTCAGGTGAATGCCTATTTTAGGCTTCCCAGTGCAGCTGAAACAACAGGTGCACACCATCATACCCTGCTATGGGTTGAGAAGGGGATCTCATGAACTTTTCTATCCATGCTGAACTTTTCTACCATGAACTTTTCTATCCATGCTGAACTTTTCTATCATGAACTTTTCTATCCATGCTGAACTTTTCTACCATGAACTTTTCTATCCATGCTGAACTTTTCTACCATGAACTTTTCTATCCATGCTGAACTTTTCTATCATGAACTTTTCTATCCATGCTGAACTTTTCTATCATGAACTTTTCTATCCATGCTGAACTTTTCTATCATGAACTTTTCTATCCATGCTGAACTTTTCTATCATGAACTTTTCTATCCATGCTGAACTTTTCTATCAATCATGAACTTTTCTATCCTTAAGCTTTGATCCTCCTATTTTCAACCTATCAAGTAGCTAAGATTAGAGGAATGAGCCACCACTCCCCAGCTAAACAGTCTTTCATATTCTTTTCTTTTTCTTTTTTCCAGAGTTGAGGACCAAATCAGGGCCTTGCATTTGCCAGGCAAGTGCTCTTCCACTGAGCTAAATCCCCAACTTTCTTTCATATTCTTAAGTATTCAGCAGTGTGTGTGTGTGTGTGTGTGTGTGTGTGTGTGTGTGTGATGGGGCTTGAACTCACACAGGTCCTGGGTGCTGTCCCTGGGCTTTTGTACTTAAGGCTAGTGTTGTACCACTTTGAGCCACAGTGCAGCTTCCCAGTACACTCTCTTGGTAATAACAAATAATCGTTTGGCCCTCCTCCTTCCTATGTCTCACGGATGTTCACTGCTAGTATTCGGCATAATCCCTTGCAAAATGTTCCATGCACGCATCATAAATAGATGAACTACATAAATGGAGTCTTTCAATGCATATTCTTCTAAACCTTTTTCTACATTTAACTGAAGTAGATTTCTTTCTGATCTTAGATATGTAGAAAATGCTCTCTATGTGTTTGTTGACAAATGGGGAAAACCATCCATCTTCCTTTCTTAGTCCTGTGGGGCTCAAGGTGCTGGCAGCCAAGACCATACCCCAGACCCCAGGCTGTTCTCTCCATTGCTGTATTCTTATATGGTTCTGGCAGCCTCCACCACCTCCTCCCATGTCTTCATTAGCAGCTAATGATCCTGCTTCCTGGTTCACTGAAAAAAGTGAAGTAGCTAATGAATACCATCTGCAGGCACTTCTGTTGCCTTTGTTCACCTGCCTGCAACTGTGTCTGTGTGTCCATCTTTCCTTCTGGAGCGCTTAGGTGGCTGTCCTCGCGCCTGCTGCTCCAACCCTATCAGCAGGGCTCTGACTATCTGCCCTGTCCCCTTTCCAGTTCAAGAAGCTTCCTTGGCGGAAGTTTCCTGCCTATCTTGCATGGGCAAGCCTGTCATCTGTATGTCTCCCCATGCCAGAGCTCACACACGTGCCCCAGCTCCTTCATAGACTAACCTTGCTCAGCCTCAGAGCTGCTGCAGTTACCTTCCCAAAGTACAGCTCCTCCAAGCAGCTGTCTTGCTTTTCTTCCCAGCCTCTCTTTTTAGCAGTTTATATGCCAGCTTCCAAACACGAGCAAAATTAGGGGCACAACTCTTCATAGCCCTAACTCTATGCCCAGATCTAAAAGCGATTATCAGAGTGTCATTAGCCCCTCTCCAGCTTCTTCAGTATGTATCCAAAGTAATAAACTTGACATATATATATATTTCACAAAATAGTAGCACACTGAATAAAGTTAGCAATAATGATCTCATACTAACAATAAGCCCCAGGTTCAACTTTCTACAATTTTCTTTCTTTCTTTTTTTTAATTTTCATTTATTTATTTTTTGCCTATGTGATGCTGGGGAATTGAACCCAGGGCCTCATGCATGCAAGGCAAGTGCTCTACCACTGAGCCACCTTCCCAGCCCCAATTTTCTTTCTTTTTTTGAACTTGGGACTTCATGATCTCCTTTCCAGCAATTTGAGCCACACCTTCATTCCCAGCTTTTTTCTAGTTGCTAGTTAATCAGAAATAAGATTCTCATGGACTTTTCTGTCTGGGCTAGCTTTGAACTATGAACTTCAAATCTTAGACTCTCGAGTAGCTAGGATTATAGGCAAATCATCAGTGCTTGGCTAACTTTCTCCATTTCTCTAGTTTGTCTTAATTGGGATCCAAGCAAGGGTCATAATTTTTTTTTTTTTGGTCCAGTCATGGGGTCTGAACTCTGGGCCTGGGCATTGTCCCTCAGCTCTTTGGCTCAAGGCTAGCGCTCTACCACTTGAGCCATAGCGCCACTTCCGGCTTTTTTCATTTTGCTTATGTGGTGCTGAGGAATCGAACCCAGGGCCTCAGGCATGCAAGGCAAGCACTCTACCACTGAGCCACCTTCCCAGCCCCAAGGGTCATAATTTTTATTTGGCTGCTGTATCTGAACTATCTGTAATTTAAGAGTCCCTATTCCCCTCCTCACCCCCCCCGCCCCCATGTCATTTACTTGTTTAAAGAAACCAGGTCAATTGCCTGTGGAATGTTCCACATCCCACCTTGGGCTCATTGTGTTTCTGTCCATTTTCTCTTGAATCTTCTCCAACCAGACTTTCACGCCCAAATGCCCCACAGAAACTGCTTCAATGGAGTTAGTGATGATGCCATATTGCTAAACATGACTGTGGATTTCCAGCCCTCATCTGAACTGACCTGTGGGTAGCATTTGACTCAGCCAGTCACTCTGTCATCTCTGAAACCTCTAGTCATTTGGTTCTCAGATCACCACCCTCTCTACACTTCCTCCAACTCTGCTGGAAGGGCAAGATCCTCTCCTCAGTGGAAATACTGAAGGCCTCAGCATTCAGTCTTTGGCTGTCTGTATTATCACCTCTTCCTGATCTTGTCTAGCTTCCCAGCTTAAAATATCATTTATATAGAGTTGGCAGATAAACTCACAGGTATCCAATTTTATTGTATTCATTATTTTTTAAATTCTTTTTTTGTGGTGCTGGAGATTGAACCCCGACCTGTTCACCTAGGGAATTGCTTTCCCAACTGAACTACACATAGAGTCTGTCTGATGTCAGAGGTTGAAAGCATTGGCCAGGCTGCCCACACACAACCTTCTCCCGTCACACTTGGGAAAAGCACAGAGGAGGGGAATAGGACCCAAACTATTAACAACAGTCATCAGCCCATTGAGGATTCAGTGGTTATAATAAGACCAATCAATCCGGGGCTGGGAAGGTGGCTCAGTGGTAAAGCACTTGCCTTGAATGCTTGAGGCCCTGGGTTCAATTCCTCAGCACCCATAAGCAAAAAAAAAAAAAAAAGAAAAGCCAGAAGTGGCGCTGTGGCTCAAGTGGTAGAGTGCTAGCCTTGAGCTGAAGAGCTGCGGGGCAGCGCTCAGGCTCAGAGTTCAGGCCCACGACCGGACCCAAAATAAAATAAAAAAGACCAATCAATCCTAAACCCCCAAATAAATGTAATGTTCACAAATGAAAATCAACAGGAACAAGTCCCTAATTCTAGCTACTTGCGAGGAAAAGATTGGAGATTTATGGTTCTAAACTAGCCCCCGCCAGGGGGAGGGGCACTTGACCAATATAAATAAGCCAGGCCTGCTAGGACATAATCAACACACACACACACACACACACACACAAATCAACACAAAAAGGCTGGAGAAATGGCTTAAGTGGTAGAGCACCATCCTTTGCATTATTTGAAGACAATCAGGAGAGTTTGCATGTGGACTAGAAATGCTTGATAGATCAAAAATGTATTCACTTGCAAAGGTGGTGCTCTCTAATTGGGGCTAGAAAGTTACAAAACCTGTTTGCTGTGAATTCATTAAGAACACGCACTTGAATATATATATATATATATATCATATATATATATATATATATATATATATCATCACTGAAACTGACAGGAAAGGGCTCACACTATGGCATTAATGGCAATCTCTGAGTGATAATGATATTTCTCTTGTTTTCCCCCTTATATCTGTAGTCTCCAACTTTTTTTTTGGCAGTTATGCTGTTTTTGAATAATAAAAGACTACATTAAAATTCAAATAAGTCTAAAATCAAACTCCTGATTTTGCCCCAACCTTCTCTATCTGCTGTCCTCAGCTGTGTGAGTGGCTGTTTCTTCCTCCTTCAGAGGCTCAAGTCAGAAATCTGTAGTCAGCTGAGCAATGGTAACTAGTGCCTGTAATCCTAGCTATGCAGGGGCTGAGATCCAAGGATCATGTTCAATGTCAGCTTGGGCAGGAAAGTCCATGAGACTGTTATCTTGTCAATTAACCATGAAAAATCCAGAAGTGGAGTTCAAGTGGTAGAGCACCAGTCTTGAGTGAAAAAGCTAAGGAACAGTACACAGGCCTAATGCACAGGCACAGTGATATATACCTGTTACATATACTTGTCATGTTGAGACTTCAAGCCTCAGTACTAGCACAAAACAAAAAAAAGAAAGGTGCCTCTGTGAAGTTCCTCTCTTACTTTTCCATCCCATCTTCGTGTCTCATTGTGAAGCATAATATTTACACAAGCTGAAGCATGGGAGCTAAGTGGAATAATCTATATGGCCAGAGAACCTTTGTAAATGGTGTTCAGCAACCACAGGCATCTGGCACATGACAATGACACCTCAGGTGTCATTTTAACCCATCCCACGAGAGATTCTGAAGGATAATGAAACTCAATGTTGGAAAGAGTGGAGAGAAGCAGGCATTTTTATGCATGCCTTGCAATGTGATGACAGGTGTCTTTAGAGGATGGATCATGTGATGAACTACCTCTCTGGCCTCTCCCTAGTCCCTTTGCTGGACCTGGGGAAGAAGCTGAAGGTACCCCAAGACCTGATGATAGAGGAGCTGTCACTGCGTAACAACAGGGGATCCCTCCTCTTTCAGAAGAGGCAACGCCGTGTGCAAAGGTTCACTTTTGAGTTTGAAGCCAGCCAGCCAGGGGTGAGTAAGCCTTCATTATGTGCATTCATGGGGAAACTGAGTCCAAGAAAGAGACAATGTTAGCTGGATGCCAAACACTGAGCCAGGCTGGGTCTCTGGCTCCCAGAGAGCTGTTCATTTTCCAACTGGGGAGACTGTGGTGTCTCCATTAGATTGAGCCATCTGCTGTTTGAGGAGTCTCCCTGTAGAGATCTTCCCAGACCCAAATCATAAATCAAGTCAGTACTTGGGCTCCAAACATGCTGAAGAGCAGCCATGTGCTCTTTGCAGCAGGCAGGATATAGATCACATTTTAGCTTGCCTTTAGAATGCCTTTCTTGGTTCTGTGGGGTGATCTGCTACTAGAGAAAGAAGCGGGTGTGGCTTATTTCCAGGCTTTGAAAAGGCAGCAGATTCTTGTACTTCTAATGAAATCAGGGGCATCTCACCCATACACCATTCCATTTCTGGGCGACACAAAAGGGACAAAGTGGGGGAGAGGAAGAGAGGGAAAGACTAGGGGAGGAAGGGGGAGGAATGGCAAAACAAATACGGCACAGACAGTGGTTAGCCAAGTACCATCACCACCAGCCCTGCTTTAGAGAAGAAAACCAAGGAAGTATCTTGTCAGACTCCATATTACAAAAGCAATGAATGTATAGTAGTTTTCCTTGCTATAAGCATTGGGCTCTTCAATGTAAAGAATAACTTGTTCTCCCACATCCCCTGCTTGTGCTCTCTCTCTCTCATAAATACACATGTCATATGTATACACATATATTATATATGCATATATAATACACACACACACACACATATATATATACATATATATATCACTTGAGCCACAGCACTACTTCCAGCCTTTTCTGTGTATGTGGTACTGAGGAATTGAACCCAGGGCGTCATGCATGCTAGGCAAGCACTCTACCACTAAGCCACATTCCCAGCCCTCTAGGACTGTTTATTGCTAACAAGGGGCACAAACCTTCCCCCAGGTATCGGGGTTGTGGGAGGGATTGAATTTGGGGCTGAGTTTATGTGTGTCTTAACAAGGAAGCAGGAAATAAAAAAATGGGTTATGGCCCAGGGTGGTGTCCTTGATCAGGTCCAGAGTGGAATGCTTGCTTGGCCTGAGGTGGGGGGTGAGTGGAGTGAGCCCAAGTTGCCTACCTGCTGGCAAGCAGGTGGGCGGGCGCCTGGTGCTTTGCTGGACCTGGGGGAGTAAGGCGGGAGTCAGTCCTTCTCGTGAGATCTATCTATCTATCTATCTATCTATCTATCTATCTATCTGTCTGTCTGTCTGTCTGTCTGTCTGTCTGTCTGTCTGCCCACCTACCCTCAGTGTTTGTCTTTCTCTGTATTTCTGGAGAGCGGGTGTGGAGGTAGAGCCCTGGCCGCTTGCTCCGCTGAGTCTCTCGGCGGCTCCTTTGCCCACAGATGGTGGCCGGAAGCGCCGAGGGTAAGGTGACCGGAGCGGCGTCTGGGGCGGTAAGCGCGGAAGGAGGGTGTGGTCGAGGAGCGGCTGGGGGGAAGACCGGGAGGGCGGGGGGGGGGGGGGGGGGGATGGGGGGGAACCGGCGAGGGCGGCGGGCCGGGACGGCTGAGACCGCTGCCGGCCGCCCTGAGCGCCCTGCCCTGGGCTTAGGTGGCCAATGGCCCCTCGGCGCAGCACTACCACGCGGGATTCTCAGCCTCGGCGGCCACGCCCCAGGGCCTCCAGGACTCCCGAGCCACCACCGCCGCCGCCGCCGCCTCCCAGCCCGCGCGCGCCCGCAGCCCCAGCGCGCTGGCTCCAGGTGAGGGGGCGGGGCAGGGGCAGGGGCAGGGCAGGGGGCGGGGGGCGGGCCGGACCACACGCGCGCAGGCTCGCTCGCACACGCCGGGGAGCGACAGCTGCACGTCTGAAGCCACACTTCCTGGGTGGGGGAGGTCCCGGGCCGAGAGCCTCGCCGGCCCTCAGCCCGCGCGCCGCAGGGCCCCGGGCGCAGCCCACCGCCCGCCCACCCCTCCGCGCGCCCCTCCGCCCGCAGGCTACGCCGAGCCGCTCAAGTCCATTCCGCCGGAGAAGTTCAACCACACCTCCATTCCCAAGGGCTACCGCTGCCCCTGGCAGGAGCTCGTCAGCCACCGCGAGCCCGCGGACGCCGGCCGCAGCCACGCGCCCCGCCTTTGGGACCTCCGGAACTTCAACAAGTAAAGCCGGGCTGGGGGCGGGGCGGGGCACGATGGGCGGGGCCTGGGGGCGGGGCGGGCGGAGTGGGCGGGGCGGGCCGTAGCTCGTGGATTGGACCCCAGCCGGCAGCCACACCTCCCAGCTCCTGACACACACGTCTTCGAGGGTGGCTGGAGCCGGGCCGCAGCTCCTTGGTAGGTGCCTCGCCCGGGCGGGGTGAAGGGCGAAGGTGCCACACGTCCTGTTGCCAGTTTCCCCAGAGCCTCGGGAAAGTCACGGCATTATCCTGCAGGACGCAAGCTTGGGTCCACTCCACAGAGGGGTCCCCACAACGCTGTTCTAGGGGCTCCCAGCTCTCCGCAGTTGTGGCCCCATCCAGCCTCCCCGTACTTTCACCGAGGCCGCCCACGGCAGGGAGCAGCGCCGAGGCCACGGGCGCTGAGTGATGCTGGTGGGGCGCTATGGTCTCAGTGTGGGTTTAAATGCAGACCCAAGGGCTGGCTGTGTGGCTTAAGCTCTCCATAAGCAGTAGCTGCTATTACTATTATTTATAGATGGAAGTGCTTAAAAAAGCGAACTGGGGAGAACTTGAAAGGGATAAATTTAACTTTCCGCCCAGGAAACCTGAAAACAGGCCATAGAATTCCAGACTGGAGCTTGGCTTTTGGAGGCCAGTTTGAGCTGGAGATTCATTTTAATTGCACTTGGCTTCCTTGAGCTGATGCAATGGCTGAATGGGTCCCCTGGCTTATCCTACATTAAGTGAGGACAAGATGGATCCACAGAGAGAGGGTCATGGCCTAGCTGTTCTGGCATCTGACCAGACACACATGTGGAGACTGTCTGACAGAGGCAGCTGGGTGTGTGCCAGGTCTTGGCTAGACTTGGAGATGAGACCCAAGGAGGAAGCACCAAAGGATGGGGGTCGGTAGTGGCATGAGAAGAGATGGCAGAGGAGGGGATGTGACGGCCCCAAACAGCAGAGTAGTCAGGGAGGTCCTTAATGGGAAGGATTGGAGCCAGGGAGTGCTGCCTGACCTCCAAGCCATTGGCAGACATTCTGTTCTGGAGTTCCCCACCAGGCAGGACTGCCTGACTCCTTCTGGGCCTTCACATCCTGTCTGCCCAGCTATTCCAAACCCTCAGCAAACACCTTCAGTTCTGGCAGCCAGCATCCAGGCTGGCTGGGTCAGGGTGCTTCCTCCACTCAACCAGTGCCTCAAAATGATAATGGAACCCCTTCCCAACAGCAGAAGAGGGTGCTAAGGAGACCTTCTCAGGGACAGAAGAGCAGCTGATGCATAGAGAGGAGCAATAGCTGTTCTTGGCCACGCAAGACTCAGAAGCCAAGGCCTCTGGGCTCCCCAACTGTGAGGCTTGCTTTTCTTGGCCATTACCCAGCCTGTTCCTTCAGAGCTTGGCTGCTGCAGCTCAGCTAGGGTGATCCAGACAGCCATGCTTTCCTGGCAAAATCCCAGGCTCTGGCTGAAGTTTGCTTTTCTGCTCCAGCAGCAAGCATTCCCCTCTTCCCAATGGTCCCTGCTGCAGGAAAACCATGACAGAAATGCCTTTTCTATTTCTTTAAAATTTTTGTTATTATAATGGTGATGTACAGAGGTGTTACAGTCAAGTAAAGGGTACATTTCTTTTTGGACAATGTCACTTTTGCCTTTTATGTTTCTTAATATTAAAAACAAGGGTAAGAGAAGTAGCTCAGTGATAGAGCTTTCACCTAGCATTCTTGAAGTGCTGGGCTTGATACCCAGCACTGCAAAGTATTAAATAAACAAGTAAGTTAACATAGATAAAATAGCTTAAGAATTATATACATTATTTGAAATACAAATCCCAGCAACTATAGAATGAAAGCAGGGTTCCCCCCCTTTTTATTTTTTATTTATTTAATTTATTTATTTTTTGGGTCTGGTCATGGGGCCTGAACTCTGGGCCTGAGCACTGTCCCTCAGCTCTTCAGCTCAAGGCTAGCACTCTACCACTTGAGCCACAGGGCCACTTCTGGCTTTTGTTCTTTTTGCTTATGTGGTGCTGAGGAATCAAACCCAGGACCTCATGCATGTAAGGCAAGTGCTCTACCACGGGGCCACCTTCCCAGCCCCCCCCCCCTTTTTTTTTTACCATTGCTCAATCTGAGGCCCCTTTCCAAAGAACAAATCGTCAGGATGGCCTACATTTTGGGAATACTTACGTAGGTGGCTGTGTACCTATAGGATTATGGAATTGTTTTTTTTTTTATTTTATTTTATTTTTGGTGCTGCTACTGGGGTTTGAACTCAGGGCAATGCATTCTTGCTTGGCTTTTTTGCTAAAGGCTGGGGCTGTACCAATTGAATGACAGCTCCACTTCTGGCTTTTTGCTGATTTATTGGAGTCTCACAGATTTGTCTGCCTGTGCTGCTTTGAACAGTGACTCTCAGATGGCAGTCTCCTGAGTGTAAACCACCAGTTATGGCATTGTTTTGTGAGTGTACAATGTGTATTTTAATACTTTGTGTTTTATTCAGTAACTTCTTTTCCCTCCTTCCTTCCTTCCTTCCTTTCCTTCCTTCCTTCCTTCCTTCCCTCCTCCTCTTCCTCCTTCCTTCCCTCCTCCTCCTCCTCCCCTTCCTCTTCCTCCTCTTCCTTCTCCTCTTCTTCCTCCTCCTCCTCCTCCTTCTTTGTTTTTTTGTCGGTCATGGGGCTTCAACACTGGGCCTGAATACTGTTCCTCAGCTCTTCAGCTCAAGGTTAGCGCTCTATCACTTGAGCCACTGTACCACGGTCTGGTTTTTTGAGTGGTTTATTGGAGATAAGAGTCTCACAGACTTTCCTGCCCAGGCTGGTTTTGAACCGTGATCTTCAGATCTCAGTCTCCTGAGTAGCTAGGCATGAGACACTGGTGCCCGGCTTTTGTTTTCTTTTTTTTTTGGGTCGGTTGTGGGGCTTGAACTCTAGGGTTGGGCTCTGTCCCTGTGCTCTTCAGCTCAAGGCGAGTGCTCTACCGCTTGAGCCACAGCGCCACTTCCGGTTTTCTAGTGTTTTTATGTTTTTTGATTGGAGATAACAGTCTCACGGACTTTCCTGCCCAGGCTGGCTTTGAACTGTGATCCTCAGATCTCAGCCTCCTGAGTAGCTAGGATTACAGGCATGAGCCACCGGCGCCGAGCCCGGCTTTTGTTTTCTTCATTTAACATTATCCTTTTGAAGTTTATCTCATTAGTGCATTCAGATCTGCTTCCTTCCTTTAAATTGTGTCATGTGTTGTACTCTATCTGCCTTGTCTGCTCCTCTGCCAGCAGTGTGGGGCTGCTTCTGGCTTGTCTTTTTTTTTTTTTTTTTGTCGGTCATGGGGCTTGAAATCTGGGCCTGGGTGCTGTCCCTGCACTCTTCAGCTCAAGGCCAGCGCTCTACCACTTGAGCTACAGCGCCACTTCCGGTTTTCTAGTGGTTTATTGGAGATAGGAGTCTCACGGTCTTTCCTGCCTGGGCTGGCTTTGAACCGCGATTCTCAGATCTCAGCCTCCTGAGTAGCTAGGATTACAGGCGTGAGCCACCGGTGCCCGGCCTGGCTTGTCTTTAATGCCTTGTTCATGTCTGTTTGCTTGGTCTTTCTTGTATGCACAAGCGTCCTTCAGCCCCACGTTTACAGGTGGAGTTGTTGAGTGACAAGAGTTCATATATTTTCAGGTTAAAAATATCCTACCAAATTGTCCTCCAAGATAGCAACACCAACTGACCTCTCTCTAGCCAGCAGACTATGGGTGAAATTTGCCCCTACTATCTCATCAACTTTGCCTCAGTGATCACATTCTTCCCTTCTGTGAATCTTCTAGGGAGAAGTGTTCTGTCACTGCTGTCATTTGCATTTTTTTTTCTGATTCTCAGTCCCCCCCCCCCCCCTTTTTTTTTGTCAATTGTGGGAGCGAACTCTGGCCCTGGGCTCTGTCCCTCAGCTCTTCAGCTGTAGACTAATGCTCTACCACTTGAGCCTCAGCCCCACTTCCGGCTTTTTCTGCTTATGTGGTGCTGAGGAATTGAACCGAGGGCCTCATGCATGCAAGGCAAGTGCTCTACCACTGAGCCACCTTCCCAGCTCCTGATTCTCATTCTCTAACTCTCCCTCTTCACTACAGTGTGTGGGTACTTTGGGAACAAGAGGAAGGAAAATTTGCTTCCAGGGCTACTGTCCTATGTAGCTTCTTAGAGAGAAATTAACAGTTTTTCCTAGAACCAGCCAATTTTGACTCTGGAAACCACTCCTGCTCCACCCACTCTCGGGGCAGACTTAGGAAAGGGCAGAGCTAGAGATACATTAGAATCATACAGACCTTTGCTGTATGGAAGGGGAAATTAAGGCCCAGAAAAAGGCAGGAAGAGGCCACAGGATTACCTGAATATCAGTACTTTGCCATTTCTCTTCCAGTCACCTCTTCTGTTCTTTTTCCTCAGGACTCCTGTGCCATTTGGAGGACCCCTGGTAGGGGAGACCATTCCCAGGGCAGGCACCCCTTTTGTCCCAGAGCCCTTTAGTGGCTTGGAACTCCTCCGCCTCAGACCCAACTTCAACAGGGTGGCTCAGGGCTGGGTCCGCAAACTCCCAGAGTCTGAGGAGCTGTAGGCCCAGCCTATAACTTCGCTTTCTCAGACTCAGGACTCATGTAACATCAGAAGCCAAGACTTATGGACTGTACTTAAATTTATGAAGAGCCTTCACACACAACTATTATTGCAAAATGTCTCAAAGGTCACAAAGTTCAGTAGTTTCCAAATGCAGATGTGTTTCAAAGTTACTTGAGGACATTGGTCTTCATACAGACTTCTGGCCTGTCCCAGACTTGCAGTGCTGGGAATCTCTATTAGTAACTAGCAACTCCAGGTCATCTACATGTCTACAGTTTGTCTTTAGGAATCCATGCCCATGTGTCTGTCTCCCTGCTCCAGCAGCTGACCCTCTCCCATGGTGGCCTGTTGACTAGCAGCCCATCTCCCTGTGAATATCTCTAATAGTTAGGTTTTCCTTTTGCTGAGATGCAGTTGACTCCAGCTATTCTGTTATTAAGTGCTACACAATGCCAGGTTCAGGTTTTGAGGAGGAAAAAGTGGTGGGAAAGAAGAGATTTGTGAAGTGAGTGGCTTTAATTTTCCCTGGAGCATGCGAATTGACAATTGAGGAACAAAGTGTCACTAAGCAGAGCAAGGTCTCTAACTCTGGCCATGAGGTGGGATTCTAGAAGCTTCCCCAGACTTGGAGTGGGATGTTGGAGGGAGAATAAGAATCCATGGAGAAAAAAGGTGTGGTAAGAGTATCCTGGCAAGCAGATCAGAATGTGCAGAATTGAGTCCAAGGTGATGGAGAAGGGAGCATCTATGTGGGCCACAGGTGGGGGCTTTACTGAGGGAAGGGGCAAGTTTTGATGATGCTCTCACTAGTTGCTGTGTGGAGCACAGACTGGAGGGAAATGATACTGGAGGCCAGAAAGCCTTCAAGGGTGATGCCTGAAATAGGGGTAGCCAAGGGGGGGAGGCCAGAAAGCCTTCAAGGGTGATGCCCGAAATAGGGGGTACCCAAGGGGATAAAAAGGAGGGGGTCACCCTGTGGGACACTACAGAACTGATGCAAAGAGGGGTGGGTACTTATAAGGCTTCCTTTTTAACCCCTTACACTTGAGCAGGCCCCTTGGTTCCAGTGATGGTGGACTTGGTGGTGGTTCTGCACCTTCTTTTTGTTTTGTTGTTTTTGTTTGTCGTGGGGCCTGAACTCTGGGCCTGGGTGCTGTCCCTCAGCTCTTCAGCCCAAGGCTAATGTTTTACCACTTGAGCCACAGCGCCACGTTTGGCATTTTCTGCTTATGTGGTGCTGCGGAATTGAACTGAGGGCCACCTTCCCAGCCCATGCTGCAGCTTCTTATCTCAGGGCTTAGAATGCCAGTCATGGGGCTTGAACTCAAGGCCTTGGCGCTGTCCCTGAGCTTTTTCATTCAAGGCTAGTGCTCTACCAATTTGAACCACACCTCCACTTGTTTTTCTCTCCAGAAAACCATTGGAGGTAAGAGTTTCACCAACTTTCCTGCCTAGGCTGGCCTCAAACTGTGATCCTCAGATCTCAGCCTCCTGAGTAGTTAAGATTGTAAGTGTGCTCTATCAGCACCCGTCTGGCAGAGTTTCTTTACTTATCTGATTCCTAATAGTACAGCCTGAGAAAAAGATATTGTCATTTTACAGATGAGTTTCCACAGGCCCAAACGAGAAAACAAACTTGTTGGAGTTGAAGGAGTTGAAGTCAGGGAGACCGTGGGAGGCTAAGCCTATGCCCAGTCACTCTGTAGTGCCATGCCTTGGAGTTTAAGGGTACCTGAAACATGCAGTTGGATGGAATGGGGTCAGGTCTGTCTTTGTGAGACAGGTGAACTTGAGCAAGTCATCTCACATCTCTGAGCCTTTTATTATATCTGTAGGAGGAGGTGGTTATCAGAGTTCTTTTATGAAGTTGAGCACACAGTTGGAAATCAATGTTCTTGAAGCAAATGCAGCTAAAGAATCAGGCTGCTAGGGCAGCACAAGGCGCCTGATGGAGGTCTCATCACTGCAGGGTTCCCTTTGCACTGGGATCCCTGACTCCAGCCCTGAGTGGTACAGTGGAGTCATTTGCCTTTTGCTCTGGAGTTTCACTCCTCCCTCCAGGTCCCTAGGGGACAGCAGCTTGTTTTTTAGTGTTTTTTAATTGGTAGTTAAGGGCCTAGTTTTGTTACACTCAATTGTTGCTTCACACCTCTAGCCCATCGTAATTTTAGAATTGCTTACAAATAATATTCTCTTGGATTTTGGGAATGTGGTTTAAAGCTAGTATCTATGAGCTGGAAGACCAACCATTTAAATGTCTGCAAAGTAGAAGAGGACTTGGATCGTCTAGTTGGTTTTGCTTTTGCAGTGCTCTGGAAGCTATCTGCTGCTGCCAGTGCAGAATAAATGTAGGAGCCTCAGGGGAACTTCTGCACCTGAAAGTGATCCTCGTCCTTTTGACAGGGTGACTTTTTTTTTTAAAGCTTAAAGTTTTGTGAAAGTTATCATCCCAACACAGCCTGTCCCACACATAACCACACATCTTCCCACCCTCCTGCATTTGGCTCCTGTTCCACTCCTGCCTACAGATAGCCACTGGCAAGTTTGATTTGTCTAGAACTGTAGAATTGTGGATAGATGAGTTTTTATGTGTATATGGATGCAGATATGATCTCCAGTGAATTTTTCAGCAAGGAAAATCTGGGCCCAGAAAAAGTAATTTTCCATATAACTTGGGGACCTAACAAGACCCCATAAGAAATTACACCTTTACCCATTTCTTGTTCTTTATGTGAATAGATACTTCTTAAGACTAGCCAAAACACCAAGAAACCAACATTAAATATAATAGCAATGAACACTACATGCAGCCACTTGGAACCATTTCAGAAACCTGATGGGCAAACAAGGGTAGACAAGTCCATACATGATTACTGATGAAAGTAAAACCCAAAAGGCAGAATATAGTTACTGGGGGAACTGGATGTTCTGTTTCTAGGCCTAGAAATAAAAATATTTAACATATTTTAAATATTTAAAAATATTTGTTGGTTGTACATGTGTTATATTTTACCAAAGTACACCTTTCTTTTTTAAAAAGTTGCACTGCAAAAAAAAAGTTTGAGTAACTAGTGAACTAAAAGTGCTCATATTGTTGAGAGACAAGAAGTGGAGAAATATGAGAAGACAGAATACAAGGAAAATACAACACTAAGCCACCTTTTCCAGAAATAATGGAAAATCTTCAGAGTGTGATGGTTATTCGTGGTTGTCACCATAACGAGATCAAGGACCTATTAAGAGAATTGGGAAAGCACACTTTTGGTGTTTGTGAGAGTGGGGAAACAAGTGGAGCATACTTGCCTTGAATGTGGGTCTGTCCCATTGGCCTAGATGGACTGAAAAGGGAAAACTTCACTCTTGCTCTCCCTTCAAAAGAGCAAATGCCATCCCAGCAGAACATACTTCAGACAAAATTGGCTTTATGAGAAATGGATTTATAGATAAGATTCTGAGTTTTAATACAATCTCATGAGTAAGAATGACATTTGGGATTACCATTTATTAGGTGTCTGTGCCAGGTCCTGTGTTCTGTGCATTATTTTAGTCTCATATAAGGACTAAAAAGGTTGGAGGCATTTTTACCAACATGGCAAGAGTCTACATTTATACATAACCTGTTTTTAACTTCCACTGACCTCAAGTTCAACTACTGAAGAATTAAAAAGAAAACAGATCCAGGAATCTAGAAATAAGCCAACAACATTTGGAAAATTGACCCGTTTTAATTATTTAAAAACAAAAAATACAACATCAAATTTCCCTTACCATCTACAATTCAGTTATAGTCAAACATTCTAAGACCAGAGTCCCCTGTCCAGAAGCAGGGAATGACGAGACACTGAAGACACACAAAGGTGAATGCTGAAGATCAGATTCCAGCTGTGGTCACAAGTCTTCCATTCAAACACACTCCAAGGCTCTCTTTTCAATGTGTTAAAGAAAGTGTTTTATAGGAAGTTCTTTAAAACAGTTTCATCTCAGGCACCATTTTCTTCAGTGATACACAGCTCCATAAAATTTGTGTTTCCATCTGATTGATAGGAATAAAAAGCAATTTTTACTTTGTCTTTTCCTGTTGGCACAAAGAGGTAAAATTGTCAGATTCCTTTATTAATAAAGGAGAGAAAGAAAAGATCTAGGCTGTGTGGGGTGCTGGTTTCTGCTTGCCTCTGAGGGTGCGACTTCCAAAGAGTTAAATCACTTATGCCACTACAATTAGTATTTTTTTAGATGATAAAAAAGAAAATACTAGAGCCGGGCGCTGATGGCTCACGCCTATAATCCTAACTACTCAGGAGGCTGAGATCTGAAGGATCGTGGTTCAAAGCCAGCCCAGGTAGGAAAGTCCGTGAAACTCTTATCTCCAATAAACCACCAGAAAACGGGTAGTGGCGCTGTGGCTCAAGTAGTAGAGCGCTAGCTTTGAGCTGAAGAGCTGAGGGACAGCGTCCAGACCGAGTTCAAGCCCCATGACCAACAACAACAACAAAAAAAAAAAAAGAAGAAGAAAATACCCAATAGATATTAAAAATGGTCAAAAGTTTTTTGTTTTTTAACCGCAGGTCAATTTTTGCCTCCCTCCCCAAAAATATACAAAATGAACATATTGGGATGGTAACATCCATCATCCATTTGGACATTCCAATTTGCCCTTCTGCTTGTTCCACATATAGGTTTACGAGGAAAGGCATTGAGTTTTCTTAGTAATGTAATAGTAGTAACTAGCTGTGATCGTGGCAGCTTATCTGAGGTCCATTGATCCTTTCAATACATGTAGGGAAAGCATGACTGTCATTCTCTGCCTGTATCTGAACACATTCAGCTACCATGGAAACTACAAAGAAAGGAAAAATATATTTATTCCAAGATTCATTTACTGGGATTTCAAAGCGCCCTTTCTTCCATAGAACCCCTGAGTGGTGATACTGTGCTAGGGGCTGCTGTGTTTTCCGGCATGCGCTCCCATCCTCTGAGGGTCCTGAGAAGGGTAGTGGATTGGTCCTGGAGCCCTCATGAAAGGAGGGGGTGGTCCCATTGGGTGGAACATGTGTGGTCCAAAACCTGCACATAAGAGAGAATACATCTGTTAGGCTTGCACTTCCTTTGGCAACTTTTCAAACCCACATGTCTTTCTAAGATCAAATGCACCTACACATTAATTGAGTCTGACATGTGTGGAATTCTAAATATCAGTTCACAGGATTTGCTTACGATTATCTACCTGTATCATTTCCTTGGTTTTAGAAACCTTTTCCTTCAGTCCAAAAACTCCACAAGACTCAAGGCATCTGCTATGTTATCTCAGCCTCTGCTAAATGGAAATTTTTTTTTTTTGGGTCCGGTCATGGGGCCTGAACTCTGGGCCTGGGCACTGTCCCTCAGCTCTTCAGCTCAAGGCTAGCACTCTACCACTTGAGCCACAGCGCCACTTCCGGCTTTTTTTCTTTTTGCTTATGTGGTGCTGAGGAATCAAACCCAGGGCCTCGAGCATGCAAGGCAAGTGCTCTACCACTGAGCCACCTTCCCAGCCCCTAAATGGAAATGTTAAAAACCAGTCTTTCTTTAAATATACAGGTTCACAACTACAGGAGACCTGGCCCCTGAGACTTCATCAAAGAAATTCTCTAGGCAGGACTACACAAAGTACTGGTCTTGAATTGCTTACTGCTAGCTACTGTAAAGATAAAGAGCTTGAGCCAAAATGTAACTCAATGATGTAGCCATGTCCACTGTGTATTCATCCAATAGGGTTTTTTTTTGGTCCGGTCGTGGGGCCTGAACTCTGGGCCTGGGCACTGTCCCTCAGCTCTTCAGCTCAAGGCTAGCGCTCTACCACTTGAGCCACAGCACCACATCTGGTGTTTTCTGCTTATGTGGTGCTGAGGAAGCGAACCCAGGGCCTCATGCATGCAAGGCAAGCGCTCTACCACTGAGCCACCTTCCCAGCCCCCAATAGGGTTTTTTTAAATACAACTTTCTAAAGGAAGAAGTGGCCATGGCTGATTTACATCCTAGCACAAGCTACTGTAGACAGGTAATAAATGTTTTGTGAAATGACATCTGCCCATAGGCACATTTTGAGCCATAGTGATCTAAGGCATCAGTTCAGACTGTTTAGGACAGCAGATGGTGGCAGATCTCTGGACTCTTGCTAACTCCAACCCTCATGATACTTGGATACTGATACACTCAGATCTTTTTTAATCCAGTGCCTGCCCTCTCTTTAGAAGGCCAGGAGCAATATGAAGTAAGACTCTCAACCACCAGCACCACAGAAGTGCAGAGGGCTTGTCTACCTTGACAAGAGGGCAGTGACTTTTCTGAGCCAGGAAGGAGGACATGAGTACCTGGGGGTGGGGGCGGGGCAATTCCAGGGGGTGGTGGCAGGGCGATGTTCACCACAGCTGGAGGACCACTTGGGGGCAAGTTGAAGTAGTTGGCAGAGGCTTCTTCTTCTGCCGCAGGAGGAGGAGGAAGAGCTGGAGGAGAAATAATAACCAGTACTCTGAGGGGAAGATAGGTTTCTAGCCCCTGCTAGGAGAAAGGAGCTACTGTAGGGGGCAGAGGTGCCCGGGGTGGGGAGGAGGGTTTCTTCTAACAGAGAAACCTCAAGGAAAACTGGGCTTCTGAGGTCAGCAGGGACTCTGTACTCACCTCCTGGCAGACCAGGTACAGGTTCTAGCTTGATACCAGAGTCTGTGGTTCCATCCTTCTCTTTCTCTTTTCCTCTGGCTGCTTGGGATCTGGAGACACACATATAATACAAAAGTCAGCACTCTGTCCCATTTTTTTCTCATACCTCTGCTTGCTCCATCTTCCAAATGCAGTTCCTTTACTCCTTGCCTTCTCTTCAGCAAACATTCTTTTCCTCAAGTGTCAAACTATAGAGTGACTTAAAGCCAAGGTTTTGAAAGCAAAAGGATTTGCACTCAAAATGTGCTAGAACTGCTACTAATGTTGTTGTATGTATGTAGCACAAAGTAAGCACAGGCTATTAGCCTGCTCCTCCCAGATCCAAGCTAGAAACATCTTCCCCTTTGAACTTGAAATTTAGGCCATTTTACCTCTCTTATACAATCAACCATTCTCAACTTAAATAGCCATTCTTCTATTTTATCTTCTCCCTTAGACAATCAATGTCTGCTTCAAATCCACCTTTCATGCTCTGGCATTATACTTGGCCTATAATAGCTAGTAACAATTATAACAAGAAGGTGCAGAAACACCATGAGCCTTCCAAGGAGACCACCAGCAAAACTCTAAATACATTTCCAAAGCAGGACTTTCTAACTTCCATAGGAATCATGTACTACATATAGAAGGATCACAGAAAGCTTGTTTTAAAAATAATCTTGTTGATTATAAAGCCTGTTTACTAAAAGCTTCCAGTCTCTAGGGTAACAAAATGGTTTTTTGAAAATCTCAGTAAGGTATATGAAAGTTCCTTTCTTACCTTCCCCATTTTACGTTGAGTCTGCGGCCATTGACGATCAACTTATTGAAGGATTTCTCAGCAGCCACTTCTGCAGCCTGCCTTGTGGCAAACTGGATGAAAGCACACTGCTGTCTCTGCACCACAGTGATTGTTCGGATCTCTCCAAACTGGTAGAAGTGATTCCTACGGGACACAGGTAGAGACTTTGTCCAGAGATTGAAAAGGCACTATGGACTTGTTCTAAATCACCATTAGGCACATAGGCCCCACGGTTACATGCCTGACCACCTGGGTATTTTCCTTCTTCTTGCCCTAATATTAGTGCTGCTTCTTATGAGATAGAAAAATAATAAATAAAGGCTCTTAAACATTGTTTCTGGTGGAGAAATGAGGGCTCTAGTGGGTTCCCTAAGGACAATTAAGCCCACACTCTAGATAAGATAAGCACAGCTCTTACTGTGCATGTGCCAAGAGTGTTTTCTTGTTTTGTGATGGGGACTTGCTATATTGCTCAGGCTAATCTTACGTTCATAAGCTCAAGCTCATGACTTTTGAGTCAATGATTCTCCTGCTCCAGCCTCTGAGGTGGCTGCGACTACAAGTGTGTACCACCATACCCAGCTATATGCAAAAAACATTTAAACAGGTGTATATGGGCTGGAACTTAGCTCAGTGGTAAAGAGCTCACCTAGCATATGGGAGGCTCTGTAATCCAGTCTGAGCATGATAAAAACAAAACAAAACAACAACAGCAACAAAAAAGAGGAATAAAAACTAAGGCTAAAAGAGAATAATGCTAATATGTGAAAAAGACTTCATATCATCCCACAAAACCTAATATTTTTGTTCCATAGCATTTTCTATGGGCTGTACTGGTTTTTGGAACTCAGAGCCTAGAGCCACAACTATAGCTTTTTGCCTGATTTTTCAGACATGGTCTCCCACTTTTTGCTCGGACCAGCCTTGGATCTTGATCCTCTTAACCTCTTAACTAAACTTTCCAAAGAGCTGGGATGTACCATCATGGCTGGCTTGTTTTTGAGATAGGGTCCCATTAACTCATTTGCCTGCACTGGCCTCAAATTCGATCCTCCCATCTCTGCCTTCTGGGTGGCTGGAATTACAAGTATAAAATTGTAATTATTTTAGAAATTTCTAGCATATCATAGAAAACCTGCTAGCCTCTTGTGATTACCTAGCTCACTCAGAGTGAGCTTAGTGGAGACAGGCTAGAAATTTGTTCACTTTATCTCTCTTTGGAAGGGTAATTTCCATTATCAACCCAGATGTCACATTTGTCAATCATAGGACAAATTAAATAAAAAAGCCCAGGCCCAGAATTCAAGCTTCACAAACGACGAAAAAACAATCATAAGAAATTATATCCATAATTTCAGAATCACAGCCAGGCACTGGTAGGTCATGCCTGTAATCCTACTCAGAAGGCTGAGATCTGAGAATTCAGTTTAAAGCCAGTTCAGGCAGAAAAATTAAAGAGACTAAACTCCAACTAACCAATAAAAAAAGCCAGGCTGTAGGTATGGTTCAAGTGATGTCCACTGTGAAAGGAAAAAGCTAAGTATGAGGCCCCAAGTTTAAGCTCCAGTATCAGAAGAAAGAAAAAAAAAAAACAAAAACATTCTCTCCTTCCCCTACATAATAAATCATTCTTGAATGCATTCGTGAATGCATGCTGACCATTAGGGTCCCATGCACTGATTATTACTCCCATGCAAGGATGGATAAGCACTCTTGATAAACATTATTGCTTTGACATCATAAAGGACAATTTTATAAAAATATGAGTTAGTATGACTGCATAAGTATAGACGGTTAAGATTACCTAAGGAAAACTGCACTTAAAAGTTACCACATTTATCTTTGTTTTAGTAAATGAATGTTTCAAATCATTTAAAAGCAAAAGAACTCCTGAAATTAGAACCACACACCTGAGATCTGTCTCAGTAATCGTATCGCCCAAACCACCAACATAAAGTGTTGTGATAGTCTTATCCTCAGGCGGGTCCAGACGAGGCATAGTCGAAGCTCTCTTTAGAAGCTTATCTGCTACGGGGTCATTGATGCCATAATACCGATCTTTAATGTTCTGGTCAGCAAGAGGATCATCTGGATCTGTAGGCTTCTCGTGCCTGATTCACAAAAGAACAATGAATGAAGGAGAAATCAAGTGGGCAATGTGTTGTATCATTCAATATTAGCTTGGTATTTTACAATACCAAGCATATATCCTGGATGTCTTTGGAATTAAGAAACGATTTCCACTCCAAAATACTATTATCAAAACAAGGCTAATATCAAGCCTTCCTATCTTTCTAAAATCCATCTAAAGGTCCATGTAGGGTGAAAAACTTCCCTTACAAAGAAATATTCTGATATGACCCACCTCAAAAGAAGGTGGACATACAGCTATCCCTCTTCAGTCATAAGTCTGGCTTTACACTGAGACTCTGGTTAGAACTAGTGAAAAGGACATATATTATTTGTTTGGTTTTCCTAACCTAGTTAGTGACTAGGTTAAGAATTCTGAGGGGCTGGGAAGGAGGCTCAGTGGTAGAGTGCTTGCCTTGCATGCATGAGGCCCTGGGTTCGATTCCTCAGCACCACATAAGCAAAAAGAAAAAAAGCTGGAAGTGGCGCTGTGGCTCAAGTGGTAGAGCGCTAGCCTTGAGCTGAAGAGCTGAGGGACAGAGCCTAAGCCCAGAGTTCAGGCCCCACGACCGGACCCCCCACCCCCCCCACCAAAAAAAAAAAAAGAATTCTGAAACCAGATGTTTGCCAAGTCTTGACTGACACACACAACCTTCAGAGAAGTTTGGCCTCATTTTGACATCAACAATACACTGAGATTCAAACCATTTGTAGGATGAAAGTGAGGACTTATTTCTCAGGCAGAAACTTTAGGACAGCATCTACATTACATACCAGAGTTTAGTTTCCTAAGGCTCACTCTTAAATACAAGTATGGTTTAATTAAAGCTCTTTTTCTCTGTTAAGGACCATTTAGACCCTTATACAAAATTATCAATTCAGTTGCAGACACAGCTTATGAGAAGAAGCCCATGTCTGTTTTATCATATAACAAATAATTTTGTGGGCTGGTCCATAGGACCATAAAAGGACATGCTTCACCCCTGGCTTAAGGTAGTAAGATGACTAATCACATGAAAGCAAATACTGAAAGTATGGCTCAGCTCTTGCCTGTATGGACATTCTTCTCCTCTCTTACACTCTCCTTTCACCCAGAAGGAGCAAATGTGGGGCCGATTCCTTTTGTAGTAAGGTGTGGTCCGGGCCAGTTTGAGCAGCATATCACTGGTAGATGTGGCTTTCCCCAGCATGCCAACTGGCCGTGTTCCATCAGAGTTAGAGATCTATATAAATTATACAGACCTTCAATTCATCAGGAATTTTACCCAATTCCAAAATACATTAATTACCAATCCTCAACAAAACAAAACCAACAACTGCCCCCACCTCCCCGCCCATGTAACATTAAACAAGTAGCAGCATACTTCTCTCTCCATATTCTGTGTATAGTATTCTTTGTTGACATCTGACTTTGGCATGTCATCTTTAAAAGACAATCCTGCATCACGGACCTGGATGGGCAAGCCTGGCACAAAGAAATGGAGGAAAATACCTCAAATATATTTAAAACTATATCTGTACTAAGTATGCACACAGAAGGAAATACATCCTGTTCTTCTCTTTTCACTTGGCACCAGACACTTGACAACTCTACAGCATCATCAGGCTATGTAGAATACTGCTACACAGAATTCTAAGAAATTGCCCAAATTGGGCTGGGAAGGTGGCTCAGTGGTAGAGCGCTCGCCTTGCATGCTTGAGGCCCTGGGTTTGATTCCTCAGCACCATATAAGCAAAAAGAAAAAAGCCAGAAGTGGCATGGTGGCTCAAATGGTAGAGCACTAGCCTTGAGCTGAAGAGCTGAGGGACAGTGCCCAGGACCAGAGTTCAGGCCCCACGACCGGAACCAAAAAAAAAAAAAAAAAAAAAGAAATTGCCCAAATGACTGAAATTTAGTTAAGTGAATGTTCCAGAAAATCTTTTAAATAAATAAGCTTTGGTCATAGTCAAATTTGACTTATAAATTAGCAGTGTATATTATGCTGACTGTACCATAATTTATTTAAAAATAAATGTAAAGTTTTTAGGAGTTTTGATTTTTTTTTTTTGTACAACATTTTTTTTTTTTTTTGTCGGTTGTGAGGCTTGAACTCCGGGCCTGGCGCTGTCCCTCAGCTCTTCAGCTCAAGGCTAGCGCTCTACCACTTCAGCCACAGCGCCACTTCCAAAGTTAACTCATTGACAGTGCTACTTTTTTTTTGTCAATTGTGGGACCTGAACTCTAGGCTGGGTGCTGCCCCTCAGCTCTTTAGCTCAAGGCTAGCGCTCTACCACTTGAGCCACAGTACCACTTCTGGCTATTTCTGCTTATGTGGTGCTGAGGAATCGAACCCAGGGCCTCACGCATGCAAGGCAAGCACTCTACCACTAAGCCACCTTCCCAGCCCTGATTTTTTTTTTTGTGCCAGTCCTGGGGCTTGAACTCAGGGCCTGGGCACTGTCCCTAATCTTATTTTGCTCAAGGGTAGCACTCTACCACTTGAGTTCCAGTGCTACTTCCGGCTTTCTCTATTTATGTAGTACTAAGGAATCAAATCCAGGGCTTCTTGCATGCTAGGCAAGCACTCTACCACTAAGCCACATTCTTAGCCCCAGAAGTATTTTTTTTTTTTTTTTGGTTGGTCATGGGGCTTAAACTCTGGGCCTGGGAGCTGTCCCTCAGCTCTTCAGCTCAAGGCTAGTGCTCTATCTAGTGCTCTACCAATTTAAGTCACATTGCCACTTCTGGTTTTCTGGTGGCTAATTGGAAATAAGGGTCTCACAGACTTTTCTGCCAGGGCTTGCTTTGAACTGCAATCCTTGTATCTCTGCATTCTGAGTAGCTAGGATTACAGGTGTGAGCCACCAGCACCCAGCTTCTAGGAGTCTTAATTTTTAAAATGCTTTTTAAATTAAAACAAATTTATCTTTAACTAGTTTTACAAAAGGGTTTCAATTCAACATTGATTTCAATTCAAATGATGAGTAGGTCAATTGATGAGCACAATTCTTCATCCTGATCAATGTCACCTCCTTTCATTATTCTCCCTCAATTCTCCTAACCCTACTCATACCTTCAATTTTTCTTTTTCTTTTGTTGGTTGTGGGGCTTGAACTCAGGGCCTAGACACTGTCCCTGAGCCTCTTTGTGGTCAAGGCTAGCACCTTTGAGTCACAGTACCACTTCTGGTTTTTGATAAGAATCTCATGGGGACTTTTCTGCCTCGGGTGGGCTTTGAACCCCTATCCTTAGATCTCAGCCTCCTGAGTAGCTAGGATTACAGGCATGAGCAACCGGTACCTGGCTTTCTTCAATTCTTCTAGTTCCCATTTTCACACATATATACTGATGATTATTTTAAGAGATTTTTAGTTGTGATGATATAGTGTCACTGTACTTCAGGACCAGAATTCTCCTAAACAAATATATAATAAGCAATATGTAGCTTGGACTTTGATTAGCAAAATAACTTTCTGAACTTAACATAGATACACTTAGACATTTTCCCTTCTATTATATAGAAATCCTTGATAAATTAATTTTTTCAAAGTCACCTATAGTTAAAATCATTTCCCCAAAGTTGCTCTAAATCAATAGCAATAGTTTAATCTAATCACACAGTTGAGACAAGTCTAAAGCATAGTTAGACCAGGAACTTCTGGTCAAGACTGTGGAAAAAGTTTTGGTAAAAAAAAACAAAAAAGCCTAAGATAAGGAGATTATCTATCATAGCACTGATGCCATTTACCTCACTGTGATCACAGAGATAAAAGTTGTAAGCTAGATGTAATTATTTCCCAATTGCTATTTAAGTTCCTACTATTACTCAGGGAGACTCTAAAACAGCCTACTTATGCAATTTTTTTTTTTTGGCGGGGGGGGGGGGGGGGGGGGGGGGGGGGGGGCGGGGCGGTCTGGTCATGGGGCCTGAACTCTGGGCCTGGGCGCTGTCCCTCAGCTCTTCAGCTCAAGGCTAGCGCTCTACCACTTGAACAACAGCGCCACTTCCGGCTTTTTTCTTTTTGCTTATTTGGTGCTGAGGAATCGAACCCAGGGCCTCAGGCATGCAAGGCAAATGCTCTACCACTGAGCCACCTTCCCAGCCCCAACAGCCTACTTATGAAAAGCATACCAAAGCAGACATTCTGAGGTGGGATCAGAACCAGAGACAGGAAAAGAAGTGGGAAATCAAAAGACTAGACTGTTTAAAGTACCTAGACACTTTCCAATTCATCAGACATGGCAAACATACCATACTCAAGGTCTAAAAGGCAGGTCTGACAAACATTCTTCAATTTACTGCAGGTCTGGCACACTTCAGTCTTCTTGAAGCGCATGCGGACTCCAGGACACCAGCGAAACACTGTGAATGGCCTGGCACAAATCTGAATACACAGCAAGAGCCAGAGTGTTAAGAGCCAGGCACCTGGATGATCAATCCAGATTTAATAATGAGAAATTTCAGACAGGATCCCTGAATTGAGGGTTTAGAAAACTTAGACAATCACCTTGTCTAAATGCCATCTGATATTTCAGTCAAATTTACAGTACCCTTCCCTAGTAGTTAAAAACTTGTAAAGAAATGCAATATTCAAAATGTCAAAGTTGAGCACTGGTGGCTCACACCTGTAAGCTTAGCTACTCAGGAGATCTGAGGATCATGGTTCAAAGCCAGCCCAGGCAGGAAAGTCTATCAGACTCTTATTTCCAATTAACCACCAGAAAACTACAAGTGGCACTGTGGCTAAAATGGTAGAGTGCTTGCCTTGAGCTGAAGAGCTCAGGGGCAGCGCCCAGGCCTACCCAGAGGTCAAGCCCTTGACTGACCAAAAAAAAAAAAAAAAAAGAAAATCAAACTCCTCCTATTTGAGAGGTAAGCACCATTAACAATCTGTTCCATTACCTCTTTGGGGTAAAGAGAGGGAAAGCAGGAACTACATAATCTGTTTAGGACCTTATGACAGTTATCAATTTCGACCTCAACTGAAATGCTCATGTGCACTGTCCTATGATGCTTATTATACAAACTCAGGGTGTTTAATGCAATTCCCACCACGTTAAGAAGCTTTATACTTACACTCTACACTAAATAGTTAGCAGTCAATGAATGTAACAATGATATATGAAAGCTTATAGCACTGACTTTCATTGGAAGACCTCAAGGTTTAGTAAGTGGAAAGATAATTTGTAGATAAAACGGAAAATTATTATTTTTATTGTGAGAATACTGTACAGAGGGGTTCTAAGTACATGGGCAAGATAACAAGTACATTTCTTTTTTTTTTTGGGTCTGGTCGTGGGGCCTGAACTCTGTGGGCACTGTCCCTCAGCTTTTCAGCTCAAGGCTAGCGCTCTACCACTTGAGCCACAGCGCCACTTCCGGCTTTTTGCTTATGTGGTGCTGAGAATCGAACCCAGGGCCTCAGGCATGCAAGGCAAGCGCTTTACCACTGAGCCAACTTCCCAGCACAAGTACATTTCTTATCAAGCATTGTTGCCTCCTCTTTGTTTCCCCTTCCCATACTCCCCCCCAACCAAAGTTGTAAAGTTGTTTTTCGACATAATGACTTGTACATCTCATTGTTGCAATGGGTCCACCTGTATCCCTAGTTAAACGATTTGTTTTTGCCCTTCCCCTCCACAAATTATACCAACATCAAATACAGTGAAAGCAGGGGTTATACCGTGGGGGAGGGACATACAAAGCAACATAGAAGGGCTGGGAAGGTGGCTCAGTGGTAGAGCACTTGCCTTGCATGCTTGAGGCCCTGGGTTCGATTCCTCAGCACCACATAAGAAAAAAGCTGGAAGTGGCACTGTGGCTCAAGTGGTAGAGTGCTAGCCTTGCGCTGAAGAGCTGAGGGACAGTGCCCAGGCCCAGAGTTCAGGCCCTACGACCAGACCCCCCCCCCCCCAAAAAAAAAAAAAGGCAACATAGAAATCATCTTATAAATATGTTAGAAACAATTGCATGAAAAAAAAATTTGAATACTTATCTTGGGGTTTATTCCCCTAACTTCAACTTACCTGACCATTCTGCTTGACTCAGACATATACTAGTTATTGCAACTAAGGGAAACCATGGGACCTATGTTTCTTTGGGCCTGGCTTACTTCATTTAATATAATGTTTTCCAAATCTTTCTATGTCCTAACAAATGGGGCAATGTCATTCTTTCTGATAGAGGCATTGAATTCCATTGTGTATATATACCAAATGTTCTTGATCCATCCATCTACTGAGGGGCATCTGGGTTGGTTCCATATCTTAGCTATGGTAAATAATGCTGCAATAAACATAGTTGTGCTGGTAGCTTTAGTATGGTCTTGTTTGTGATCATTTGGGTAAATGCCCCAAAGTGGGATTGCTGGGTCATAGGGGAGCTCTATGTGGAGTCTTTTGAGGAACCTCCATACTGCTTTAAAACAGAAAATTATTATACACTAAGCCCACCTTACTTGTGACTTATTGTACATGGTTAACCATATATGGTTAAAAGAAATCCATGAAATATCAAAACTAAAAATGTTTAACTTGCACATATATATTATATAGCTCAGAAGTGCTCAGTTAGTCCAGACTTATCATTGTGTAACTTTGTGAGCCTCTGATTTTTTTCCTTGCCCTTAATGCTGTGAAAATATGCCTTCTTGCATATTAGCAAATAGTGCCTAAAACACAAAATAAAGTTATAGTAAACCTTCCAAGTCAAAAAGGGCATGTAATATGTTTAATTTAAATGATAAAGTGAAAATTTTAGATTTGTTGAATGAGAGAATGTCTTTTTTTTTTTTTTTGGTCTGTCCTGGGAGCTGAACTCTGGGCCTGGGCGCTGTCTCTCAGCTCTTCAGCTCAAGGCTAGTGTCCTACCACTTGAGCCACAGTTCCACTTCTGGCTTTTTTCTGCTTATGTGCTGCTGAGGAATCAAACCCAGGGCCTCATGCATGCAAGGCAAGCACTCTTACATGAGCCAACTTCCCATTCCCAAGAGAATGTCTTTTGCAGACGTTGGGTGAAATCATCAGATAAATGAATCAAGTATTAACTCAGTAAAGTACTGAACTCCATGCATCATTAACATTCATGGTTTTCCCTCAACCATGGTCTCCTTGGAACCATAAACCTGCAAATACCAAGGGCCTACTATCCTTCTTAGCAGACATACTTACTTTGCATTCTTTCCCATATTTTTCTTTGGTCTGAAATAGAAGAGAACTGGAGTTACAGGAAGAAAATACCCACATGTCTCTTTTTTCCCCCCTAACCATACTATCTAGGGATTTGTCTTGAGATCCCTGACATTCTAAAGAAAACACAAACCTAATCAAACCAAACCACAATTAAGCAACCTATTTTAAGGGTGGGATGGAACGGGACATTTATTCCTGATATAGGTAATTAAAGATACGATGAGTTATACTTTCTCAAAAGTTTATAGACAGAATAACAAGTATCTTTACACAGTCAAAACTCTTAGGCTGGCTCCTAAGAACCAAAATTCCTAACAGTTTCCATAGTCCTCAAATCAAGAATGATGAAGTTATGGGCAGTCCCCTTGACAGTTTGCTCAGTAGGTAACTATTTTAGCCTCATCCTACCCTGGGCTGATACCCTGTACATTAAATATTCTATTCCCCCAAAGTTCTTCAAACATTTTGAATATACCAGCAAATCATTATCTCAGAGAATGACTGCTATGTAGCTAACCTAATCACTGTCATAGGATTCTGAAGGATAGCATATACCTTAGTATATAAAAGGTGCAGTGACTGAAAAGACATGTGACCAGGAATCAATCTAGCCAGGTGCCAATGGCTTATGCCTATAATCGTAGCTACTCACAGTTCAAAGCCAGCTTGGGCAGTAAAGTCCATGAGAATTTTACCTCCAATTAACAACCAGAAAACCGTAAGGGGCACTGTGGCTCAAGTGGCAGAGTGCTAGCCTTGGGCTCAAGAGCCTGAGGGACAGTGCCCAGGCTGAGTTCAAGCCACACGACCAACCAAAAAAAAAAAAAAAATGCTGGCTCTCCTAACTTGCTGAAGTCCTTGGAGTTTGACTATCTGAATTTAAATTCTAGTTTTACTCTTTGTGACATAAAGATATAAACTCGCTCAACTTCTGGCCACTAGGTCTGCTTTCTAGGTAAACGCTTGACAAAGATTAGCTGTTACATTACAGGATTATTGATACAATTTTAAGCGAGACAGTAAGCATGGCAGTTCTTTGCAAATCCCCCGGATCTTTGGGTTCGTAAGAGTCATTTTTCCTGCCGATCTTTGGGTTCGTAAGAGTCATTTTTCCTAAGGGCGAGGAGAAACATTTGACAGACGGCGGTAAGCACCACAGCATGAACAGATGAACAGTAACCTTCGTTTTCACTTGCTATCACTCACCATTCGGATGTATGGGTTTTCTCCAAGACACGTCTGGCACAGAATGGGAAAGTCCTGGGGAAAACGGTAAATGCGGTGAGGGCCGAGCTGAGGCCCCCGAGGCCTCGGTCATTCTCCCGGCCACGAGGGGAGGGCGGGGAGGAACAGGCAGGCAGGAACCCCGGGCCCAGCGCGGGCTGGTCGCGGGGGCGGCGCGGCCTGCACTTCCGGCAGGCAGGGGGAGAAAACCCCGCCGGCCAAGGTTAGAGGGCCGAAAAGGCTGGGCCTCAGGCCCGAGCTAGGCCCCGCTGGGCCTCGTTTCCTGAGCCGCCGCAGGCCGCCCTCCAGCCCTCGCTCCCGCCGCGCCCGGCCGCGAGCCCGCGGAGGGCCCGGCTTCGCTGCGCCCTGCCGCCATCGCCCGCGGGCATACTCACCGCATCCTCCCAATTCTGCCTGTTGTAGGTGTTGGAACCCAGAGAGGTCGCCATCTTGAGAGTCCCGGGGCGGCCGGAGCTTCCGAGTGGGGACCGCGGACCGCCACAATCCCGTGAGGACCTGCGCCGGGCGCCGGGTCGCTTGACGTCTTATTTATGCGTCGGGCCCCTCTCCTGGGCGGGGCCTCGCGCGTGCGTTACGACGCTCCTCTCGCCCAGGGGACTCCTGCGCATGCGCAGTTTGTCAGTTTGGGGATCTTCAGTATAAATGGTTTATTTAAAAATCTTGCGAAAGAATAAAGGGACTAGTAATGACTGGGGAGCTGCGGGTAAACCAGTGCTCACTCCAACTAAGCGCTTATTGTGCCAAACGCTGGCAGACGGCTTGCGGCGCCAGTCACGAGTCTCACCTAATTCTTGAATAATTTTCTAAGATTGACAAAACATGTACTTGAATTCCAATTAAAAAATGCTTTCCCCTCCAGCATAAGTGTGTTTACTGTGCAAATTACACCATAGAGGATTCTACCAAATTCACATTCAAGGCAGCATCCTGTTTTTTTTCCTCCTTAAATGACAACCCTAAGCCCTAGGCAAGTATGTGGAACCCTCTTAAAATTGTTTAAAATTATCTTTAAGTAGTCGTAAAAAAAGTTGCCATTCGGCTGCCGGGCGCTGGTGGCTCACGCCTGTAATCCTAGCTACTCAGGAGGCTGAGATCTGAGGATCGCGGTTCAAAGCCAGCCCGAGACTCCTATCTCCAATAAACCACCAGAAAACCGGAAGTGGCGCTGTAGCTCAAGTGGTAGAGCGCTTGCCTTGCGCTGAAGAGCCGAGGGACAGCGCCCAGGCCCAGAGTTCAAGCCCCACAACCGACAAAAAAAAAAAAAAAAAAAGTTGCCATTCGGGCTGGGAAGGTGGCTCAGTGGTAGAGTACTTGGCTTGCATGCTTGACGCCCTGGGTTCGACTCCTCAGCACCACACAGGCAGAAAAAGCCAGAAGTGGTGCTATGGCTCAAGTGGTAGAGCGCTAGCCTTGAGCTGAAGAGCTGAGAGACAGCGCCCAGGCCCAGAGTTCAGGCCCAGGACCGACCAAAACACAAAACAAAACAAAAAGTTGCCATTCAACAAAGCAGTTTATGAATACAATGTACCTTGGTCAAAGCTGGGGTGGCTCATACAAGTAATCCTGGGATGGCTCCTACAAGTAATCCTATCTACTCAGGAGGATGAGATTTGAGGATTACAGCCTCAAGGCAGTTGAGGCGTGAAAGTCCCTGAGACTAATCCAATTATCAAGCTAAAGTCAGAATGGAGGCGTCTGAACGAGTTTAGGAAGAGGTGGGTGATGAGTTTAGGAAGAGGTGGGTGCGCACATCTTGTAATCCCCTAGCTACTCAGGAGGCTGAGATCTGAGCCAGCCCCAAGAAGGAAAGTCGGTGAGACCCTTTATCTCCAGTAAACTACCACCTCCACCCCCACCTCCACCCCCCCCCCCCCCCAAAAAGCTGTAAATGGAACTGTGTCTCAAGTAATAGTGCTCTATCTGAAGCTGCACAGACTAGGGAAAAATGAGATGTGGTAAATTTACAGCAAATACAGGAGACATACCTTCATTTACACCCCTTAAGATTGAGGGAACAAAGTCATTTAGAGGAAAATGAAAAAGGATAACTTAAGGAAACTGAGGCCTGGGGAAGGCAACTCAGAAACCTGGTATTTAGAAATACAAAAGTGCCATCTTTGCTTTAAAGAGAGTGAACAGAATGCATCCCAAGAATGAACACTTGTGACAGGATGTATGCCTTCCTGAGAAAAATGCTCCTCCAAACTTAAGCCACTTCCTACCCCAAAGTGCAGATAGGAGAGTACCTCCTATCTTCCTATCCTCTCAAGGATAAAGATGTTTTATAGCAGGATGCATTCTGGAACCTCTGAAAGTAAAACCGGTGTGGTTAGAGCAAAGACAAAGCACCTATTTTTATACAGATTTGAAGCCAGACCCCCTGCCTTTACCCTATAAATACCCCAACAGCCCAAGGAGCTGTGTGTGTGTCTCTTTCCCACTGTCTCCCCAGAGAACACCCATACTCTGCTGGCCTGTGCCATTGCCCTTCTGTCTGTCTGCTTGCCTGCAAACTCCAGCAAATTTTCTTACCATTGTGACTTGTCCAGAAATTCTTATTTTATTTATTTATTTTTGGGTCGGGTCGTGGGGCCTGAACTCTGGGCCTGGGCACTGTCCCTCAGCTCTTCAGCTCAAGGCTAGTGCTCTACCACTTGAGCCACAGCGCCACTTCCTGCTTTTTTCTTTTTGCTTATGTGGTGCTGAGGAATCGAACCCAGGGCCTTGAGCATGCAAGGCAAGCGCTCTACCACTGAGCCACCTTCCCAGCCCCAATTGTCCAGAAATTCTTATTCTGTAATTAAAGTCAAGGATCCTAGATGAAGAGTTTCTACCGTTAAAAGGAAAACCGCACCAAATCTCATTTTTGTGTGGTGACATACTCTTGAGCAAAAGAAGCTCAGGGATAGTGCCCAGGCCCCAAGTTTAAGTCCTAGGACCAAATCTGCGCCTGCTCCCCCCCTCTCCCCCCCACACTCTAAGGGATAGCACTCTGGTCTTGAATTCAAGCCTCAGTACCTGCATGGGGAAAAGAAAAATGGAAATTGAAGTTTAGAGAAATTCAGTTACCTCCTTTTGGTTGGAAATCTAAAAAATGATAAAGCCAGAGAGTCCAAAATGAAGATTTTTTTTAACCTGACAAAGAAAGGGTCTTATGGAATAACACATCTTTGTAAAACCCCAATAACACTGCCAATATTTTAAGAATTTCATTCTAACATTACTTTCATATTTGACCTATCATCAAACTTCTTAATATATTTCTTTAAAATGTCTCATTAAATAAATTTATATAAAGCATACTTTGCAAATAGTTAAGAATTTTAAAGCTGGGAACAGGTGATTCACACTTGTAATCCTAGCTATTCAGAGATCTGAGGGTCAATGTTCAAAGCTATCCTGGGCAGAAAAGTCCCATGAGACGCTTATCTCCAATTAATTAGCAAAAAGTCCGTAGTGGAGGTGTGGCTCAAGTGGAAGAGTGACAGCCTTAAGCAGAGAAAGCCAACTGAGACTGATAGGTCTAAGTGCAAACCCCAATCATGGTGTACAAGTGCAAGTGTGAGCGCACACGTGCACACACACAAATTTTACTTTTTAGTTATCAGGAATTTTTGCATACGTTTTCCATATATATAGAATATTTCCATCATCTCAAAGAAGTTCTCTTATGCCAACAGACAATTTGCCTTCCTTACTCTCAGTACATAGCAACTACTCATTTGTGTCCTGTCCCCTATGGAAGCTTCTGGGCTTATGATGGTGTTATGCTTTACTAAACCCACTGCATGGGGAAATTAAGCTGGGGTTTGTTACTGCCATGATTGTCTTTAATGCATCTCAAATATACTATATTCTAACATTGTTTTGGGCATTAGGTTGGGGCCAAAAAACTTTTCTCAAATATTCATGGTTCACCTTCAGTTTATACCTGTCCCGCATATCTGCACAGTGAAGTCAGTCTCTTTCTGTACCTTCCACATCCTCTAGCAACTTGTATTTGTTACTAGCTGCTTGCTAGTCTGTAATAGAGGAGGAATGAAAGGTTCTGTTATAATTCAGTTCAGTTTCAGGCTTTAGTAGATCCTACTAAAGCCTAGGCTTTAGGAATTATTTTTAGTATTCTTTCCTTCTTTTCATGTACCAGTTAAATTTTACTTGTCTTTGGTTTTATCAGGGAGCATTTCCCATCTGAGAAGTACACAACAGTTATGAATAATTAAACTATGGGCTGTGGCTAGTAATGTGGCAGTAGCAAGTGATATGCTGCTATCTATGGCATGTTGATAGTTGGAGTGAGGCACTACATGTGTAGAAGCAAGGAGCAAATAGAAAATCTCTATGCCTTCCACTCAGTTTTGATGTGAAGCACTTTATGTTCTAAAAGAACTATTGAAAATATCAACATGAGATCTAAAGGTCACAGTTCAAAACCAGCTCAGGTAAAAAAGTCCCTGAGACTCTTATCTTCACTTAACCACCAGAAAACCAGAAGTGGCATTGTGGCTCCAAGTGGTAGAATGCTAGTATTGAGCAAAAGAGCTCAGGGATGGCACCTAGGTCCCAAGTTCAAGCCCCAGGGTAGAAAAAAATCAACAAGTATGTAAAGGAAAAGGATGTGAATGTGAACTTATTCAACAAAGATAGGGAGCCTATTATTTGCCAGACATGGTTGTGAGTTTGGCAGATATAGCAATGTAAAAACAAGCTAGGCATGGGGGCACACACCAGCTGTGTGATGGGGCATATCCCAGCTACTTGGAAAGTGGATATAGGATTTTAAGTTTGAGGCTAATGTGTGCAGTTAGTAAGATGCTATAATTCTAAATAAACTAATAAATAAAAGCTAGGCATGTGTCTCAAGTGATGGAATGCTTGCCCAGCAAGCATGAGGCCCTGGGTTTAACCCATAGTACCACCAGAAGTGGGGATAAAATACGCCTGCCCCACAAAAAAGCTTATGTTCTAGAATGATGACTCAGAAAATAAAATGTACAGTAAGTTGGATGGGAAGAAATGATTGACAAGTGCTGTGGAGGTAAAATGAAGCAACAAGGGGTAGGGAATGTGTATGATAGGGAAGGGCAGTTAACAGGGAGTAGTTGGTCAGAAAAAACACACACAAAGGCACTGTGTGTGTGTGTGTGTGTGTGTGTGTGCGCGTGCGCTGATCCTGGGGCTTGAACCCCTGGTACTGTCTCTTAAGCTTTTTCTTTTTTTTTTTTGCTCAAGACTACCACTCTATTACTACTTGAGCCACAGCTCTACTTCTGGCTTCTTAAGAGTCTAAGCGACTTCTCTCTTTGAGCTGGCTTTGAACCATCAGGTATCAAACCTCCTGAATAGCTAGAATTACAGGCATGAGCCACCAGTGCTTGGCAGAAAGGCAACATTTGAGCAAAGACCTAATTGTGGTGTAGTGAGCTATGTAGAGAGCTTTCCAAGCAGAGGGGACAGCTAGTGCAAAGGCCAGAGACAGCTGCATGGGAAGGCCAAGGAAGAGCAGGGAGGC